AACTAGATAAAACCGTCCAAAATTCCATGAAAGAAGTGAAAGATTCAATTTTGAAGGTAGAAGGTGAAGTGCAAAAATTGACTCAGCATCAAGCATTGGATCCAACTATCCCACAATTGGTGCAAGAACTTAAACATGATTTATCTAGTCTAAAAGCATTACTTTTATCAAGGTATATACGCACTTTCCTTTCTTTTTATATAAAGCGTATACAATAAGCGATGCACATAGATTGTCAGTAATAGCAATTTATTGCCACACAATGAGATTATTTCTTTTAGACATTATTTATCATTTTATTCTTGTATATGTAATATTTGCTTATATTAAGATCATTTATTTTTACAAGAGATCAAACATCATCACAACCTCACACTCTCTCGTACATATAGTTTCATTTGAAATTGCTTAAAAAATTGATATCTGGATATTCTGGTAACTTTCTTTTAAACAACAGTTTATTTTACAAAATGTAACTTTAAAATATAAATTTGTGCATTTTTTTTATCTTATTCCTATTTTTGACCATCTGCACTTTTAAAGTAATCTTTCTTTGCAAATATCTCTCTGATTAGACTATGTATATTTATCTGTCTATATCATGAATTCAATGCACAAAAAGCGTCAACTGAAAATTTTTATACATTGTTTATAATTATATTTATTATTAATTTTCAATTTTATCTTAAAATAGAAAACAATTTCCTACTGCCCCTGCATCTATACCACCATGGCAGTTGAGTGCAACAAATGTAAGCCAAGAAAAAGTAACTGAACGAGAAGACGATGCTGGAAGTGGTAGCAGTACTAACAATTCGGATAGTTCTTTGGAAATGATTCGAGAAGATCCATCTAAGGAATAAGTTTAGTAGTTTTGAGTTCGTCATAATTACTTCCATAATGATAGTCTTCGATATACGCGATATATTCGGCATAATATTGAAAGCAAAAGGATTCTAATTTCAATAAGTACTACATGATATATTACAAAGATGCTTGATGTTATTTTTATACAGGATGTTAGAAAAGAAAAGGACCAAAGGATCTGAATCCTTTTTTTTAGCATCTTGCTACTTATACTAGTAGCATTATTATAGTAGCATTGATCTGTATATTTGGTAGTACACCAAATATATATTCATAACTTTGTCAATGTTTTAATATCTATCAAACAATGTTCTATTACAAAGAACAGCTTTTATCGATTGTGTCATTTACCAGAATAACATAGCAAATCGATTGAATAAATGTATTAAATTAATGTAATTACAGATCTCCTCGTAATTTTTAATAAAATGTTTTCTTTTTGTATAAGAACTAAAAGAGAACAGACTGTTAATAGTTTCTTTAAAAAATTACTTTGATACTTTATCGTAGTACAAGACAGATGAGAAGAAACAGAACATGGAAAAAAAGGAAATTAGAAAATTCTTTAAATGCTTTTTGAAAAGATTTTACGCGAGCAGAAGCCATACTTTGGATTTTATAATTGTGTGAATTACACATCTAGAAACGTCCTTGTAAATTTGTAAGAATTAAGTTTAGTTGTTTTGTGTGGAGATAAATTATAGATATAAAAAAAGATATAGCAATTCTCTATAACTCTATGCCGTGAAATAAATTACTTAATATATATAATATATATGTAAATGTTAATATTTAAATCTAGAATAAAAAATATCGAAGACATAGTTACAATACAAGGTATCGTGTTTAAGAATCTTGTAATGTTGAAATTTTATATCGAAAATGGAATTGTATCGTATTATAAATTGAGAAATTAGTGTACTTCTTCATGTAATATCTGTATGCGTTACATTGCAGACAGTGTTATACATATGTGTACAGATATAATTTTTGAATAAATAAATTGAAAAATTAACTTTACTTCCATTTTCCATAGAATACTGTATTGCCCATGACTCATGTCTTGAGAAAATGATTGTTATGTACAATAAAGAGAGCACACAAGTTCTATAATATACATATAATAGAAGAACGATAACTTTAATTAAAAAATCTTTATTGAAGGATGACTGATATCGCTAAATCTTGTACACATGGGCGTATTGTTCTTTTTTAACTTTTTAAATGTAAATTGAATAAATTGATTTTACATTTATGTATAAATGCATGTGTGTATATGTGTTTGTGTTGTGTATGTGCGCGCGCACATATATTTAACATACATATATAGATATTAGATGAAGTCCATGTAACTTATTTATATTGGTCATTCATACAAAAATCAATCACACTTTAATTGCGTCAACATACATCCGAGTAATATGTACAAACTGTATAATATTCGATATTATTGTTGTATCACTAACAATAAGCAAACAAAGTACACAGATGCGTGTACATATGTGTGTATGTGCCATGTATATAGCTTGCTATTATATATCACTTACAAGAAGAGTTCACATGTGATTTATTTTTCTCAGCTTTCACGAGTATGAAATAAATAAATTATATACTCAACTATGTAAATGAAACA